CCTCCTCCTCCTCCTCCTGCCGAACAACCTGGACTGCCTCACACCATCCCATGGGCCTCAGAGGATGGATTGTACCTGTTGGGAGGGAAGGTGGCCTTGGGGATAGAGAAGGCCAAAAGGGCAAAAGGGCGGGTGTCCAAAAGACACAATCAGAAAGATAGGCAGGGCTGAGCAAGAAGTACTCCTAAGAATGTGAACCTCTTTAGCCTCAGTCCTACACCCCTCCCTCACACCTGAGATCTCCACCCGGCCCCATCCTTTGTGGCTGAAAGGGTGGGAGTTTCCTCTCCTTTTGCCGCAATGCGGAGGTTAAGCAAGGCGTGTGAAACACACTTTCTATTCCGCGTGAGGTCACACAGTGCAGCTAAAACACACAGACCAGAGCTGTAGAAATAGACCCCAAAAGCAAGGTGAGTAGGACCGGCTAAATTGTTGTTCATTTCTACTTATTCTAACAGCGAGCTCCAGTCCCGCAGGCCTGTGGATACGTGAGAAATGTAGGTGTGTGTGTGTGTGCCCGCGCGCGTGTGCATGTGTATGCACAAACACTAACGTGACTGATCTCGCACAGATGACGAGCCCCGGCTGCCTTCTCCCTACCAGAGACGCGTCTTGCCCCTGAGCCCAGAGGAAGAGAGGACCTAGGCCGGCGGGCAGTGGAAAAGGAGAGTGAACCGGGTGAAACTGGCCAAAAGAAAGATCGGAGACATCAGAAGGATGGAGACGGATGGAAACAAAGCCTGTGCAATGCTGGAGAGAGGAACCAGCTCTATCCCTAACCCGGGCTGCAGGCCGGCTCCGGTTTCGAGTGACCCAGAGTCAAATGCAGGGGGAGATCCACCACGGAAGGTGTCCACGTTAGGGAGAAAGGCGAACTAGATGGCGAGGTTGGACACCGGAGAGCCGGTTTTGGAAGGCCTAGGGGGAGCGGGGAGCGAAGCTTAGCGTCAGTGAGGTCTCCAGGGTTTCTTTCCAGTGAAAAAAGGATTCAGGCCCATCCGTTGACAGGAGAGAGGTGTCCTGTCTGCAAGAGGGCAGCATCGGTCCGCTTCGGCTGCCTCCGCCCTCCTGCCCTGAACTGAGGACCCCAGCGCAGTGCGAGCGTCCGAAGCCCCAAAGCTGCCCCCAC